AACTCTCCGCCGCAATGGGGCGGTTCACAAGGCGGAGAGCATGTCCGAGTTTGTCGTCGGTTCGTTCAACGCGGTGGGCACATCGGATTTTCCCCCAGGGGACCGCCAGTTCGTTGACACCGACGCCGTCTTCCGCGTTGGCATCGGAAAGGACGAGAACAACCGCAAGGACGCGCTCACCGTGTACAAGAACGGCAATATCGAAATCTCCGGCGACCTGACCGTCTCCGGCTCTGTCATCTCCGACGGCACGGCGCCGATGTCCGGCCGCCGCCTCTCCGCCTCCGACGGCAACGCGCTCGAGAAGGAGACCCCCCTCCCCACCCCCCCTGCCCACTGCACCACCACCCCTCTCACCCCCCCACTCACCACCGCAGAAGCTCGAGGCGACCAACATGAAGCTCGAGGCGAAGCTCGAGGCGCACACCAAGGAGCTCGCCGCGCTCAAGGCGGCGGTCATGGCGCTCACGCGCAACTGAGAGCGCTGGGAGCCGCCGCCTCTGGCGGCTTCCAGACAGAGCCTGCTCGGCTGACAGCCCGGGCGGCGAGCAAGCGCCCGCGCGCCACAACGGCCGCGGGCAGCGCCGCTCGGGCCACGTCTGTCTGTGCACAGCGCACTAGATCGCGCTCGGCTCTCGCTCCCCCGGACTGGTACCCCTCCCCCCTCTCCCCCATGTTGTGTGGACGCTATGTGTTTGACAGTCTGTCTGTGCACAGCGCGCCACATCGCGGTCGACTCCCGCTCCTTCGGACCCCCCCCCCCTTTGGCCAGGCGGGGGCGTGCATTCGCTCCCCACAGTTGGCCGACGTGGCGGTGGCCGCGCGTGGCCGCGCGTACTCTCGCGCGTTACGGCTCCCTCGCTCTCTCCCATGTGCGCGTCGTGGACTCTCGCTCGGCCTGTCTGGACTTCGGTCTTCGCTTTGGGCACTCTCGGACTGGGCTCTGTGTCTGTGTCTGGTCCTGCTCTGGCCTCTGCGGGTCGATGCCGCGGTCTGCGCGCACACACATGCATGTCACAGAGCGCGCGTGCTTGTGCCTTTTTGTATTATTTAGCACAGCGCGTTACTTAAAGGCTAGTGCCATTTCACTCTGACACGCTAATCTTGAAAACGTCTCCAACGGAGCTCCGTGTTGCTCCCAGCGCCCTCCCCCGCGCTTCCTGCGGCCATGGCCGATGATACTAGTATGGGGGGTCATCTGGCTACCGCGAGAGCGACCCAACTCGTCGATATCGTCCGATGATGGTGCCGCAAAGTCAGCCTTCGGAGGCTATCGTGGGGTCGAGCCGGCAGTAGCCGTGACATGTGGTTCCACCACCCCTCGTAGGCTTTGCCTTTGACCGCCACCGTTCCCAGGCTGCCTAATGGGATGGAAAGGAAGGCTCGGCGAGCGTATAGAAGCGTGCTCGACCTCGTCGTGGCAACCTGCACGGCAGCGCTGGCAGGCGCGATGAGCGTCGTGCCACCTGACCAGAGACGGGTCGCAGGCGTCGTACCGAGCGTGTCGAGACCGTGTCCTGATGTGATCTGCACGGGTGAGTCACGTCGGCGTCAAAGGAGCGACGTGCGACCTGTCAGAGCTTGATCTCCGATCTCAGCTGCCTTCTGCGCGTCCTGGGGATGTACCTTTGTCGCGCGCCGGAGACGACTCGACGCCGCTGAGATCGGAGATCAAGCTCTGACAGGTCGCACGTCGCTCCTTTGACGCCGACGTGACTCACCCGTGCAGATCACATCAGGACACGGTCTCGACGCGCTCGGTACGACGCCTGCGACCCGTCTCTGGTCAGGTGGCACGACGCTCATCGCGCCTGCCAGCGCTGCCATGCAGGCTGCCACGACGAGGTCGAGCACGCTTCTATACGCTCGCCGAGCCTTCCTTTCCATCCCATTAGGCAGCCTGGGAACGGTGGCGGCCAGAGGCAAAGCCTACGAGGGTGGTGGAACCACATGTCACGGCTACTGCCGGCTCGACCCCACGATAGCCTCCGAAGGCTGACTTTGCGGCACCATCATCGGACGATGTCGACGAGTT